GCGGGAGCTCTTCGGCACTATGATCGAGCGAGCCGAGCTCATGGTCAACAGGGACGTGGTGGGATGTCGCAATCACCTCCTCAACGCAAAGAAGAAAAGTCGGCTCACGGAGCTTGGCGAGACGTGGATGAGTTCTGACAGTGGGTTCTCGCGTACCTTAACGATTTGATCTTTCGAGGGCGTCGCGCTTTGAGAGGCGGATGTCGACGTAAAGCAAGATGCGGTATCCCAGCGCGCAGGTTCGGGGACTCGGCTGGATGTTTGGTGCACGCCCCGTCCCGCCAAGCCTCCCCTCCGGCCACAGCGCAATAGAATCCAGTCGGCTTGTCTCACCACTCACCCTCTTCTTCATGTCAGCATTGTCTGACCTGTCCCCATCCCCACAGGGCAGCCCCACAGCCCCACCCTCCTGGGTCGGGTTGGGACCCGCGAGATCCGAGGGATCAGGCATGTATGATCCAGGGTCGAGAGCTCGCCAGCCCACCCCTAACTGCAGAGGGGATGGGTCCCAGTGTGCACCCCCCCGTTAACCTCGGGAAGTCTTTAGATTTGCTCCCCCCCCCCCTGGAGCTCTCCGCAGTGAATAAACTCGTCCCGAAATTCGTCCGCTCCCGAAACCTCTCCTCCTCCTCAAAGTGCAGCTCTCGCCTTAGCGCCGCGCGCATTCGTCCTAAAAACTTGCAACAGTTTCAAGGATGGAGGGCTCGTGTTGTTCAAAGTGCAGATCTCGCCTTAGCGCCGCGCACATTCGTCTTAAAAGTTTGCAGCAGTTTCAAGGATTGCGGGCACGTGTGGTTCAAAGTGCAGATCTCGCCTCAGCGCCGCGCACATTCGTCTTAACAGTTTGCAACAGTTTCAAGGATGGCGGGCACATGTTGTTCAAAGTGCAGCTTTCGCCTCAGCGCCGCGCACATTCCTGCTCGCGCTGTCTTGGAGTTGTCTTGGAGCCATCATGAGCCATCTTGGAAGGATTCTGAAACCATCGCGGCCGAAAGCAAAAGATTTGCCCGCTATTGTTCGCGCGGGCGCTGTTGTCTGCGGCTTGTTCCTCCCAGGGAATAATGCCGCATGGGCAACCCTACACGCGTGAGGATTTTTGAGGACATTCGTAAGACGGTTGTGATGTAGAATTGTTGTTCGGAATTCTTCTAGTGGTTCCTGCTCGCGCTGTCTTGGAGTTGTCTTGGAGCCATCATGAGCCATCTTGGAAGGATTCTGAAACCATCGCGGCCGAAAGCAAAAGATTTGCCCGCTATTGTTCGCGCGGGCGCTGTTGTCTGCGGCTTGTTCCTCCCAGGGAATAATGCCGCATGGGCAACCCTACACGCGTGAGGATTTTTGATGACATTCGTAAGACGGTTGTAATGTAGAATTGTCTCGGTGCAGGTGTGGTTCAAAGTGCAGCTCTCGTCTCAGCGCCGCGCACTCTCGTCTTAAAAGTTTGTAACAGTTACAAGGATCGAGGGCTGGTGTGGTTCAAAATCCAGCTCTCGCCTTAGCGCCGCGCACATGCGTCTTCGTCTTCGTCGTCGCATCGCTGTCGTAGTCGCAATCGCACTCGTTATCGTCTTCGTCTTCGTCTTCGTCGTCGGAGCGCCCGAACTATCATTATTTTCCGCTATTGTCTGGCGGGCTCGTTTTTTCCAAGTTGTCAATCCATTCGAACGAATGATATTTATTTTCCATCTACTGGCCAGGGGATTTCTAAAGACTTCCTGGGGTTAATGGGATGGGGGGTGACGACGAGCACGACCACGACCACGACCACGACGACCACGACGACCACGCCACGCCCACAGGGCCACGACCACGGAGGAGGGGTTACTCATCCAGCGGAGGGCGAAGGCGATCCCATTAGCATCGGAGGAGGGTGGGCTGGAGCACGGGATCGTACATTCTTGCCCAGGTAGTCAAGAGTCAAGCCGGCCAGAGGGACCAAGGCCACGCCAGAGGGATGGGGAGCGATCAAACGATGCTCGTCATCGTCGTTCTCGCACTATTCCTACTTCGTCTGGTCCACCTCCACGTCCATCTCATCGTCCTAGGCGGCCGGCCTGACAAGGGTCGGCAGAACGCCCCCCCCCCAAAGCGAGACAGATATGAATCAATTCCTTTTGATTTATTAAGCAGTTCTTTTTGTTACTTTTAAGTGCTTGACTGGCCACGCTTGAGCGACGAGCAAGAATTTGCACATTCTCAGGCCAGGATCTGTTTCAGGCTGGTTGTTAGAGAGCCTCCGCCGCGCAGGCAGCTGGCCAGCACTGCCTGCGGCGCCGTGGCCGGGCGCTCCCCAGCGCGGACGGGGTCTTTGCCCCTGCCCGCACACCTTGCGCACCAGCCCTTGCTAGGCAGCTTCAAGGCCCTCGGGTGCTAGCATCAGCTCGACTTCCTGAAGTGTGGGGCCAACTGGAAGCTCGCTACACCGAGCTCTGAGCAGCCAAATCCCCCCCCTCTCCTCTGCTCTCCTCTCCTCTCCTCCCCTCCTCCTCCTCCTCCTCCTCCTCCTCCTCCTCCTCCTCCTCCTCCTCCTCTTCTGATTCGTTCCACCACTTGTACTTTCAAACCTCGCTGCTCTGGGCGTGCTTGCCTGCCTGGTACTGCCTGGTAGCAGCACGCCGCCCTCCCCTTCATTGGGGCCAGTTTCTTTTGTGCAGGGCGCAACTCGACTCGACTCGACTGGGGTGCTAGCTCCAGGAAAGGTTTCGCTTTCGGCGTTCCCGCCCTCGGTGATCGCCGGCGGAAGGCCGGCGGAAGTAAGTCGGCGGCGGGTCCGTCAGCGGAAGCCAGTGGAGGGTCGGCAGAAGACGGCGGAAATTCAAGGCAGGACGTCATTGTTTTGGGGTATAATGGATTCTAGAAATTATAACCCTAACCAGGATTGGCCGGAAGAGGTTGACGGGGGGGTTGGCCGGGGTATCTGAGGTGTGCTGGTGACACGTCAACTTTGTTGGGTAGGGGACGTCCAAAATCTGCCTATCCGGCCGCCGTGTTGAGGTAATTGGGAAGAGTCGGATATAGTCAGGACCCAGTTTAAGGGCAGCCGATTTGTGACTGGGAGCCGAATCGCTAAGCCAAGTCCGCCGAAGCTGGTGTTTCTTCGGGTGACAGCAGTTCCGGCTAGTGGAATGAGGCGGCGGGGTGTTAACCCGAACACATCACTAAAATCAGGTCCCACGAAACCCAGTCCCGCCAACGCCCGAAAGAGGCCTATAAGAAGTTACTAGGGCCCTTCCAGGAGGTCTCGTCGGAGCCTCTTGGAAGCCTCTTGGGGGCCTCTCCTGGACCGGGGCCCGTCGGGGGCCTCTAGGAGCCTCTTTTGGGGCCCTTCAGCGGCAGCTGACGGTCTCGCGGAGCATCTTGGGAAACATGCGTCGAAGTAGCAAACATTTACTTCTCTTGGGCCTATCTTGGGCCCAAGAGGGAGCCTGGGGCGTTGTCTTGGGGCGATCCTGCATCTCACTGAACAGCCGAGCATGCTTTAAAGAAGTCGCAGGAGATTCGTTTGCGTTGGGCTTCTAGGGCCAGCCCCCCCCTGGGCCGCCAAGACGGCCCAAAAGGCACCCAAGGGGGCTCTATGACGGTCGCTGGGACCCTAGTTGGCCATGTTGAGAGTGTGGGATCCCAACCACTCTCTCGAGGCCCCTGAAAAAGCAGGGAATCCCGGCAGCGCCCAGGAGCGCGAGACCGTTGAAAGAGTGGGTACACTGTTTCGAGAAGTCGAAGGCACCTGAAGACTCCCCTTTCATTATTTACGGCAAGATGCTAGACGATCCCTCGTGGAGCGGACCAGGCCAAGACGGCGTTTGCCGAATGCACCAGTCCAGGGCCCCGGATGGGCATGGCCAGGTCGCTTACTGAGTGCGCCCGTCCTCTAACAGTTGGCTGTGCTGCAGGGTGGCCGAGCCCTGCTACTTCTTTACCATCCTGCGACATGCCCTCGCCTGTATGCATGGCCTGTCGTGATGATTCCCTTGTCTATGTCGGTTCTTCTCGGCAGCCCAATGTGGGGCCGGGGGTACACGCGCCTCCGCAGATGAGCTGCCACCATTGCTCATCCCGTTCCGCGAGCTCTTCACTCCTCCTCGTGTTGCTTTTGCTGCTCCTCTTCCTTTTGCTTAACCTTCGGGTTTGCCTCTGCATCCGTCAACCAGTGTTCACCCAGATCTTCGATATTCTCCTGTTGCTGCTCCCCCATTGTCGTGATCTTGTTTTGTTTTATACGTATTGATATCATCCTGCGTCTGCCCATTATGCTTCTCTTGCCTTCATGAGCCCAATCGTGTGCATCCTCCTCCCGTTCCATCTCGTCCTGGTGCTTCTGCTGCTGCTGCGTCCTTAGCTCTGTGTGTCTCTCCTTCTCTCTCTCTCTCTTTCCCTTATCTCCCCCTCCCCTTCGCGCGCCTCCGTAGCCGAGATCCTGGTTTCACCTCTCTGCTTCAAAGTTGTAGTTGCCTTTACTTTTGTGCAGGCCTGCCTGATCCAATCAGCACGGTGATCGGAAAGTGCTCGTGTAGTGAAGCTCGTTGGTCAGAGTAGATTCACTGTAGGCATGGAGCGCGAGCAGGCAGTGCTTGTGCACTCCAAGTCTATGCTCGCCGCTTGCCGACTGAGTCACCCACGGTCACAAGCATGAGTAATGGTAGCTTTTAGGCTGGCGGCTGATTTCAATTGTGCTTGCTCCGTGTGGAGGACATGCAGAACAGTAATTAGACCTGCTGGCCGTGGCATGCCAAGACACTGAAGGAACCGAGCACCTCGGCCCGCACCAGGGGGAGGGGGGTCACGTACACTGCACGATCCTGCCGCCCATGTGGGGCGTTCTGGAAAGGGCCTGGCCTTCGAGTGATCGAGGGGCTGACATCTCCTCCACGGCGGAAGGCCCGCGGGATGCGGCGGACGTAAGACGAGAGCGTCTCCGCCGGCGGAAGGCCCGTGGAAGGAGGAGGCCGCCCTCCAAGAATCTGCGACGTGCTGTGGTGCAGGGCGTCAGACGGGCGCACATGCCCCGCAGACTGTCCCTGCCGCTCGTCTGGCACCTGCGGCGCTTGCCCCGCCCCGCCGGCCACTTCCTGCGGCGTGCGGGCACCCTGTGCCTCCGTGGCCGTCGCCGTCTCCGTTGCCGCTGTCACCGCCGTCGCCCCAGCCGCCGCCGCAGCCGCCTCCAGCGCCGTCTTCGCTGGTCTCCGCTGGCCCTCGCCACCCCGTGGTCCCACGTCCTCGCCATCTCGTGTCGGGGGTTGATACAGGTACCCCTGGCCCAGGGTGCCCCCAGCTTTTCGCTCCACTTGGAACCCCGGGGGCCCTCTGGGCCTCGTGAGGGGTTCTCTGGAGGCCGCGGGGGCCGTCCTGGACATCCTAGGCGCACCCTGGGCCAGGGGCACTTCTGGCAACACCCGGTCGTGGCCCACCGCCATCCCGCTGGTCATCGCTGGTGTTCGCTGGCCCTCGCCATCTCCGCCGGCCTTCGCTCGCTGACCACGGCGCCGCCCTGCCGCGGCAGAGGCGCAGTGCACGACGCCGGGGGCGGCGACCAAGAGCCCGCAGAGGCCCCGCCAGCACGGGTGGGCGGCGCGCAGGGCGAGCGAGCAGTCAGAGGCCACGGATCCAGAATGACGCGTCAGCAGAATCGCCGGGCGTCGCGTCGGGCAGCGAGGGCTGCAGAAAAGGGGCCCTTTCGCGGCCCTGCAAGGCCCGAGGATTGCACCTTTCCCCCCCCCCTCCCCATTGACAGCCCCCCATGAAGCGACGCCCAAACTCGAGATTGCACTCTTGGCAGCCGAGCGGAAAAGCAGCGTGCGTGTGAAATTCAGGCCGAAGGCGGAGGTGGAAAGCCGAGCCCCACCCTCACCGATCCACGATTCGGGCAGCTCGATGGGCGGCGGGGAGAAGGTTCGGAGTTCGTCGAGCACGTGGCGGAATCCGAGCCCTACCCCTGCCTCCCATCGGCCCAGGGGAAGCGAAAGGTAGGTGGCGGTAGGGTTCGGACGTCGTCATCTAGCAGAGGGGGTGGCGCGAGCTTGGCGGCCTACCGAGATCAGGGGGGGGAAAACAAACACACTGACACAATTGATCGTCGACGCCCAGGAAGATATGGGAAAGTTTGGGAAGTGGGGGGGAAGACACCACACCTAGAGCATTTGGGAACACATGGGTGGTCCTGTTACTGGTGCCTATTTATTTGTGTGTCCCAGGGCCCCTTTCATAAGAGTCGAAGAAGAGAAAACGGCATGAGCATGAACTTTTGGGAGGTCCGCGCGGATTTGTTCGATCGGCGCTGGGCCCTCCTGACGGCGCCTCGGGCGCCGCCCCTGGCTTGCTCAGCGCGCCAGGGAGGGGTGTCCAGGGCTGATTCAGGAGATTCGCGCGCACCTCTGGAGGTTTTCTGATAATGAGGTCCACGCTCGTCTTCCGAGGAAGGCGTGGGGCTTCTCCAAAGGCAGAGCCGCGTTCGAAGGCTCCTTGGACGACTGCGCACAAGCCAGGAGGGCTTCTGAGAGGGGCCCTCGTGCCGTGTGCGGGGGAGCCCTTCCGCCCTCCTCCACCACAGCCTCTTCTTTTGCAGAGGGGCAGTTGTACACCATGCCGCCCTGGCAGCCTCGCGTCGAGGCTCGGGGCCTTTTTTAGACTCTGGGGCGTCATGGCCGGGCCCCAGGACGGCGAAACAACGACTCTGGATGAGATGCCGGGCCTCGAAGAGGGGCCAGGCCAATGGGGAGCGTCGTGATACAAATCATGACGTCAGATGTCTGGGTCTTCGTCCGCGGTAGGCATGAACCATGACCAGGCCTGGACCTACAGGCCATCTGGGGCCCTGGTTTGGTGCATTGGCCTTCGTTTCCGAGGTCATGAGGGCATACACGATGCCTGGGCCATGGGGAGCCCTGGCAGGGCAGGATGGCGGCGTATTTCCAGTTCTCGGACTGCGACCCTTGCAGAATCCCGTGGGCCGTCAGAAAACGACTCGACTCGCTCCTGGTCCAGGGCCCATTTTCACCAGGATTCGTGGAGCCCGAAACCGTGTGGTGACGGACCGCGTGGCGACTTCACAATCCCCAGCGACCTCACCGCGCGGTCCGTCACTGCATGGTTTCGGGGCCCTTCAGGGTCCCCGGAGAACGGCCCGAGTCCCAAGACATTGCGGCGAGCCCGAGGCCCCACGGACTCACCACGTGGAGTGGTCACCACACCGTTTGGGCGCCCCAGCAGGACTCGTGCCCCTCCCCCCGGGGAGCCGCGCCCTCGCCGCCCCGACGTCCTCCCCAGCCCCATTCGGCGGCGCGCACAGGGTTATGGGCGACGACCTTGTTCATGTTTATGCCCTCGCGGTCTGAGTTTCTAGCCTCGATCGCATGGATACTGCCCGCGCGAGGTATTCGCGCTGAGCAGCGGCGGGGCATACCTGCACAACTGGTGACGTAGTAGGTAGAGGAATGCTGACCACGAGGGTAATCATGGATATGGACGTGCCTGTCGCTAGTGACAAGGGGGCATGGTTAGAGCGGTAGCGGGTAATTGCCACCCCAAGATGGATTCGCGAAAGGTGCGCCTCGCATTCTCCAGCAACGTCAGTACACGAAGTGGAGTTTCGACGGTCGCCGAGACTGATACATTATTTCATCGAATATGGCTTCAATCGGTCCAGCAGCAACAAGCGGGCCCACCACAACCCAGCCCGTGGCAACAGTGACACTAAACGCAATCGCCCATCACTGCGAGTTGATCAAGCTCCATGCCGCACGCTTTCTCTACGTATCAAATTCATGCACATCCCAGGCTATGAACCTTATTTGCCGCCTCTCAGTGGGGAATTGGGAAGTCCACGCTGGGGACGCCGAACGTTTCCAAAATGTCACCCGTTTTTGCAGGCCATGCCTCGCGCGCGGACTCTACCATTGGACGTTGGGGGGACTTGAGCGTTGGGGGGACTGCTGTGCCATGCATTATTGTTGTTTGAGTGTCGGGGGAGGGGAGCAGCGGTGGCGGCGTGTTTTTGGTTCTTTGTCGGAAACACTTGCATCACCGGCCTCCTTTCTGGCACCGGGATGGCCACACCAAATTCAAGCTCGACCGCCTCCTAGCCGAAGGGGCCCGCGACGATGACATTGAAGGCACGTGTCTGAAACCAATGCCCGAGCGAACTCGGACCACATAGATGCGACTCAGGGCAGTGCAGTCCAAGCTCAAGTGTTATATCGGGAGAGATCTGCGTTTGCCCGGCAACTTTGCGACAACGGCCGGTTATTCCGCTCAAGGCCAGACGATACAGAGCACCGTTTTTTTGCCAGGCCGCTAACAGTTGACGCACTAAGGGTGCTTGGTAAAGAGCACGATCAGGCGTCTGGTAATGCGAGACATCGAAGTCGATGTCAGCGCACACGGGGTGCGAAGTCAGATTCATGCGAATACGAACAATTGCACGTGCAGACGCTGAATACGACCACCTGTCAAGTCCTCAACCGATCGCTCTTCGTGTGATTCGATTGCAGGCCGGGCCGCATCGATTATGGCACCGAGTTTCCGAGCTGTGAGTGGACGAAAACGGGATCCGAAGCTCAACGACGGTACCAGGTAGGTGAAGCAGGGGCGGTAACACGAGCGGGGTGGCAACACGAGATTGTCACGGAATCCGCCTCTTGTGTGTGTGTGTGTGTCAATCCCGTTTACTCCTCTCCTGTTGCGGGTTCTCTTTGGGGTTGTCCTGTGCCCGAGTGCGGCCCGGAGCAGTGCGCTGGAAAATTAAGGGGGCAGTAGTGGTTGACGGGCCTGGAGAAGGGAGAGGAGGGAGGGTTGGACGAACGGAGCTGGGAAGGGGGATGAGAGGGGGGCAGAACAAGTGGATTGGAACTGCTGTCTTGCTTGCCCCCATGCAAGCCCAGCCTCGACGGGACTGGGCCCTGCTACGGCATGCTCAGCCATATCGTGGGTTCGCCTCTGTTGCAGTGGCGCGTTATTTTGCCGGCTGCCCCCGCGCATCACGGCGAGATCGCGGAGGGAGACGGCGGGTGGGCGTTCCAGGTCTTCACCACGCTGGCTTCTCGCGTGCCCGCTCGTGGGCGCCTCGTCGGCGCCCACGTGCGCTGGGTGGGCGCCCCGAGGAGAGCGCCCCGTCGGTGCCCGTGCCCGCTCGCGCGCGCCTCGCGTGCGCCTCGCGGGCGCCTCGCGTGCGCCTCGGGTGCGAGGAGGAGGAGGAGAAGGGGGAGGCGGAGGAGGAGGGGGAGGAGGAGGGGAAGGAGGAGGAGGAGGAGGAGGAGGAGGAGGAGGAGGAGGAGGAGGAGGAGTCGTGTGCGCCTCGTGTGCGCCGGGTGGGTGCGCATCGTTGGCGCTTGTGCCCGCTCGTGGGCGCCTCGTGATCGCCGCACGGCCTGCATCGCACAGCTCACGACGCATAGCTCACACAGCAGAGCTTCCACCGCAGAGGTGGCGCAGCAGAGCGTACATGCCTGTATTCGGTTGTGCAGCATCGTCTGTCGTCAATGCGAAGCCAGATCATCCAAGACCAACCGGTATTGAGCCCCCGATTGGTAATCTTGGTCACATAATCCTACGCTCACGCACTTGTTCATCTCAAAGAACCATGTACCAGGCACCCCGTGCAAAAATGACATCGGAGGACCCCAGCCATATGCAGTTGTGAGTGCCGCCCTTGTGAGGGCGCCCTGCTGGGCCACGAAATGTGTACGGGGATTGCCGAAGTGGGCTTGGGGGCGCATGCGGACCCTGTCGCTGGGGTCTTCGATGGAGCTCCCTTTGGGGCCACGGAATGTGTGAGGGGCGTGCCAGAGCGGGCGCGTGAACGACACGCGGACCCTACCGCTGGGACCATCGGTGGAGCTCCTTATTGGGCCACGACGCTTTTGAGGGTGGTATCAAATCGGGCGCGAGAGTACCATGCGGATCCTGTCGCTAGCGCCTTCTTGCGAGCGTCCCCTGTGGGGCTACGAAGCGTGTGAGTGGTGTGCCGAATCGGGTGCGGGCGCGCCATGCGGACCCTGCCGTTGGGGTCATCGGTGTAGCTTCTCCTGGGGCCACGAAGCGTGTGAGGGGCGTGCCGAATCGACCGTGGGCACGTCATGCGGACCCTACCGCTGGGGCCTTCGGTGGAGTCCCCTACGGGGCCACGAAGCGTGTAAGAGTATGCCAAACTGAGTCTGGGAACGCCATGCGGACTGTACCGCTGGAGCTTTCGGTGAGTTTCCTGTGGGGCCACGAAACGTGTGAGAGGTGTGCCGTGTCGGGTGCGGGTGCGCCGGGCTGTGCCGCTGGGGCCTTCGGTGGTGCTCCTGTTGGGGCCTGCCGAATCTGGAGCGGGTGCGCCGCCATGCGGACGTTGCCGCTGGGGGCCTTCAGTGGAGCTCCTTCTGGGGCCACATCATGAGTGAGGGTGTGCCAAGTCAGATGCGGGCACGGCGTGCGGACTGTGCCACTCACCACACACCAAACCACCCCAACCCAACCCGGAGGCCTCAACTTGACCTCCATTTCCAGTTGGGGGGGTCGGGGAACATCGAGAAAACACATATGGAACCCGTACCCCCCCCAACCCGAA